GATGAAAGATAAGAAGAAGATTTGGACGACAATTAGAAAAAAAGATCTTAGGAAAAGGTGGGGCAGAAAAAGACGAGAGATATTGCAGAGAGGGGCTAAGAGGGCAGGATGAGGTTGTGGGTGGCAAGGACTAGGGCTGGGTAGCAGGTTGCTCGACCCGTACAACCCTCACAATTCGAACCTACCCATAAGGTTTTGGGCAATTTTGACAGATAAGTAGGGTCTGATCAGTGTTTTAAAAGACTCTAGGTACATCGAGGCGATAAGATCTCCTATAATCTAAGCGTGAGGCGATGCGCGCCTCACCAAAGCGAGGCGCAAGTAGTTGAAGAAAAACAAAATTATAAAATAGGCAAACTTTTCAACATAACAAACATATATAGAATTTCAAAAATTATAAAACAAGCCTTACAAGCATAACAGAGAACAAAAAAAATAGAAATAGCCCAGTGAAGAAGCAGGAGATGAAAAGAAGAAGAGAAGAAAAATAAGGAAAAAATAAATAAAAAAAACAAAGGCAGACCCATGAAGAGAACCCATTGAAGAAGAGAAGAAAAAAAGAAAAATAAAGGAAGAAAAAACAGAGGCAGAGAGATGACCCAACCAAGAGAACCCATCAAAGAAAGGAAAGAGAACCACCAAAGAAGAAGCTGAAGAAGAAGTCGAAATTGTGTCGTCTTCTCACTTTCTAATTATTATTTTTTTTAATCTTCTCCACCTGGGTTTTTTTTTTTTTAATCACTTTCTACTCTCTTTTGACCATGTTTAGTCATTTTATATTGAAGAATTTTGATTCCCTCTGGATATGTCCACAAAAAAACCACTTAATTAACAGTTGGAGTAGAAAAATTAGTAAAGCCCATGAAACTCACGCCTTGCACCTCTAAAAAAAGTCCTCACCTTAGCGCCTAAGTTGTACCTTACGAATTGCCCTTGCCTCAATCTGTTTGAAGCGCAAGGCTCATTACGCCTCTTAAGTGCACCTTTTAAAACATTGGGATGGATGCGGATTGAGTCTTAGATAAAATTGCAGGTTGCAGGCGGGTTGCGGATTACACTCAATCCACCCCCATTATTAAATAAATAAAAATTCTCTAACTTCCCACATGGGTTGTTCATTTTCTCAAACATTTTTATCTCAACTCCATTATCTTTTCCCACTTATGTGAAGCCTATGTGCCTATTGAAAGTACTAAAAAAATAATGTGGGATGCAAAGTAATGAAAACTTAAGACCAAATCATGTATATTTACATATATATATATATATATTTGTGGGATGCAAAGTAATGAAAACTTAAGACCAAATCATGTTTGTTTATATATATATATATAGGCCAATGATAGAGACTACTAAAAGTGGTGCTCTAAAGCAACCACTAATGATGTGGCATCCATTTTTTTTAAAAAAAAAACCATTTAAAAAAAAAAAAAAAAGACACAACAACACTGTGGCAGTGGGTCACATCATTAGTGGTGGCACTAATTAGTGCTCCCACTCGTTGTCCATATATATATATATATATTAAGTCCACCTGTAGCTGTCCAAAAAAAAAAAGGTTGAACAATTCTCAACTCTTATAAAAGTGTGTCCATCCTATCAATTTCCTTTAAGCAATAAGTAATAAGCAACATATTAATTATTTGTAAAAAATTTGTTTGAAAGTAAATCGCAAGTTTGATTTGTTTGGTAATCGAACAAGTTTGAATGAGTTACAAAGTATTGGGCTTCATGAATAGCTTAGTTTTTTTTTTTTTTTAATAATAAAATCTCAACTCACACAACCAAATGCACCCACCCGCACACCCAATTGACCCACCCGCACAAACTGCAAAACGTATTACAAGCTATCGTGAGTCAAATTTTTTCAACCCGCATGGTTGCAGGCGAGTCTAACTCACAATCCAAACCAACCAAAACTGGCCCGTGACCACCCTAACAAGGATTGACATCAATGACTGACAAGGTAGTTAGTGCTAGAGGAAGGAAAAGGGTGGTGGCAGAGAGGCAACAATGGTGGTGGTGGTTGGTGCTGAAGGGAAGGTGTAACTAAAATTATGGTTTTTAATTTTTTATGTTTTGTGTACATTTTGGTAATTTTAAATAGAAATACAATTATAATAAAAAATTTAAAATAAAAAAAAAAAAAGGTGTAAAGAGGGGTTTTTTTTGGATATAAATAGGACCTCCGTTTATATATCCTTGGAAGTAGGGTTGGATAAGCATCCATTTGACCTGTTAAAATCAAATGGCCCGAATCAATTCGTCACAGAAAGGATGGGTTCAATGGTCTGAATAGACTGATGCATATGCATTTTACCCAATTTGCCTAAATTCAAACGGATGACGTATGGAAGGCCACCCCATCCAACTCGATCCGTCAATAACCCTAAGAAAATTATGTTTTGCTTTTATGTTTTGTCTATTAAAAAATGGCATTTTATTTAGTAATTATATTTGCTATTTATGAAATATGAATGTTAGGCCTTTATTTTTATTCAAAAAAACAAAATGAAGAATCAAAAATTGTATGCCCAAGATAATAAAGAATTACTAGAAAATAATTCAAAAAAAAAGCCCAATATAGTAAAGCTCAAATTGTCAAACCGATCTGCATCCACCAACAAATCTGCACGGCCTACTCAATCTGCATCTACTAATTAAGTGAGAGGATGCGGATTGATTTTTCTCAATCCACTTAAGGTTCAAACAAATGGCACATGAGAGGTCATTCGACCCAACATAATCTGCAAGCACTCCTGATTGGAAATCCAAAAACCCTATCACAATAATTACAGCAATGGTGTTCGTTTTCTTTTTTAACTTTTGTGAAAAAAAAAGTGAAATAATTATGATTTAGATATGACATTTATCTTATTAACTTATTTAGTCTATTTTATCTTTTGTGTTTTTTTTTAGTCTAAAAAACCTTAGCCAAACGAAAACCTAAAAAAGCTTTTGCCAATCGATGACTTATTAGTGACCGGCACAGTTGGACTTCAAATAGAGAGCAACATTAACTTGAAATTTTAACAAAAATCACAATTCAACTTAAACCCAATTTTATTTGATAGTAGGACTATAAATCAACATGATGCCAAAGATTTATTTAGATATATACTCGATTTAACCACAGTGTTGCTTATATGTGATTATCATCATAGTATAAAAAAGAACAATAATCTGTCGCCAGAAAATATGAGATGGAATTATATCCAAATACACAAAAAGAGAGAATGGAGAAGAGAAAGAAAAATGAGAGTGGAGAAACTGCATCAAAAACTTCGTAACAAATAGCGACCTCCCATTTGATTATAAGGTGGCATTAGTATATCACATTACAACTCTGGAAAATGCCGAAAGGTCATAATCATATGTTAATTTTGTTTTTGGCTATGAAAGTGTGACACCTCCTTCATTCCTTCATACCACTCTTTTTTCAAGAATTATTATAGTAATCGGTCATTACCATATCTAAATTTTCCATTTATGATAGTTTTTTCGTTGTTAGAAGATGCACACAATAAATATTCAATGCGTTTTTGGGCTAAGAATTTGGTTGAGACAATTCAATGGGGGAAGGGGTAGATCACGCGAAAAGCATTTATTGTATGTGACACTTACGATTCAAAGAGTAGAAATGAGACAACTGTCGTGAAAGAAAAACAAGTCTTCATTGCCGCAGTTTGTCACCAAAAAATTATCACGCTCCTGTTGCCTTAATTTCTATGTATTTATAGTAAAGGGACTAAAATCCCTTGTAACTTTTCTGAACACAGTGAAATTTTGAATTTATAGTCGGCTAAAATCTCTTGTAGCATTTCTAATCATAATAAAAATTGCAACAGTTGTAAACATAATCCTAATTTTAAGGTGAGCCACGTAAATTGAGTTTGCATTTGATTTATCATTCTTTTTTTTTTGTGGGGTTGATTTATCATTCTTGTGCATATATATAATTGAGTTGAGCTTATTTTAATTCAAAGGACTCATTTAATTATTGAGCTCAAATTTAAGCTTGAAGTCAATTTGAATACAATCGAACAAGTTTCTAAGGAGTTGAACTGAAGCTGTTTGTGAAATTCAATTCGTTTGGATGTGTACCATGCCCAAGTTTCTAAGTTGTAATGGTTATCACCACAACTCCACATTGGCCCCGTTTGATAGAGCTGTGAGAAAGTGATTATAACTTAAAACTTAACAGTTTATACCTTGTACCTGTGAACATAAGCTGATTTTTTACTTATAAATTAAGCTTCTCCTCCCCCACTCAAAGAATAAGTTGATTTTTTACCTACAAAAAGCTATAAGTTATATTGTTAAGTTGAACCAAACACATCAAAATAGCTTAATTTAAGCTAAAAGCTGAAATAAACTGGAAATAAACTCTACCAAACAAGACCATTAATATGTATCTCTTCTCTAAGAAATCCCTGATGAACACCCCACACAGTTTTTATTATGACTTTGTGATGTTGTAATTGTTGAGTTTGATATGTACTTGTAGTTATGTGGTGTAAATGAAGGGCTGCTACGTATTACTAGATGAATTTTTACAAATCTTCTTCACTTTTCTCATGTAGACTCAAAATAAATGTCACAAGACCAACCATAATGATGATAAAATTCTTCATTGTTTCGTAATATAATATAGAAAAATGGACTCATCCCATCAATTGAGGCCTCCCAATTCTCCCTAATGATGCGGCTAAAACTCACATGAAAATACAACCACTCTTCTCTCTCTCAAACTTTATTTTTTTTATCCACATCATTGGGAGTGGAATTAGGGGTTCAATTAGGGGCCGTAACAGAACTCTTTAAAAACTTGTTACGGCATTTTCACTTCATATGCTAGGGGTGCCTTGGCTAATTCTATCCCAAAGAAAGTTTCAGAGAACTGTTTAATAAGAATACCGATCCAAATTGCACTCCAGCATTACAAACCAAAACCCAAGTAATATATACCACACCATACAAAAAGACTGGAAAACCACGAATGATGAAACAATACTAGATTCAAATTGAATAGATAGCAAACAAAGGTTCATATAGGCATATCCAATCAACAAGGATTACCATCATTATCCTCTTGGTCCACAACCAAGAATAATAGAAGTATAAATGCATAAGATAATAAAGAGGTGGAAAAATTCCTACTAACCAACCAAAGAACCAGGTCGATGAGCTTGAAATAACAACCAAGCCTCAATCACATCCTCCGCTCCTTCAGCTTTCGTCATAATCCGCCTGGAGAGCACATTGTAGGATTACTGGTCCTCCATTACAGTGAATAGAACCATAAGCCAAGGTACACCAGTCCTAAAATTTGCTTCAATCAAGATAGACCAGACTTGCTCTTCAAGTGTTGCTTGAAGTCCATAATATCACCTGCCCATCGGGTCACAGCTTGGTTCTCACACACCCAGATTTCATGTGCCACCTGATTAATAAGCCTAAAATCATGGCTAACAAGAACCAACCCACCATCCCACTCGTTCAATGCCTCGGCCAGTGAGTCTATCGTTTCAATATCCAAATGATTAGTGGGTTCATCTAGCAACAGCATGTGGGGCTGTCTCCATGCCAACCATGCAAAGATCACTCGGCTCCTTTGCCCATCAGACAAATTCTTCATAGGCATCACCTGGGGTTTGCCTGTAAGCCCAAACTTCCCTATTGCAGCCCTCATCTTTTCTTCCTCAATTCCTGGGTACTCTCTCATCATAAACAAGAGTGCAGACATTTCCAGGTCAAGTTTCTCAGCCAAATGCTGATGAAATTGCGCAATCCTCAGGTGGTTGTGTCGCCGGACCATGCCGTCAAGGGGAACCAAATCCCCCGTCATCAGCTTCAGCAGCGTACTTTTCCCAGCTCCATTGGGCCCCACAAGAGCTACTCTTGAGTCCAAATCCACTCCAAAATCAAGACTCTTGTATATAAGATTTTCAGGTGTGTAACCGAACGCAACTTCCACAAATTGTAACACAGGAGGGGGAAGCTTTCCTACATCAGGAAATCGAAAAACAAGAACCTTATCTCTCACCACCTTCTCCATAAGCCCACCTCGCTCCATTTTTGCCAAAGTCTTCTCTTTGCTCTGTGCCTGACGAGCTAGTTTTGCGGATCCGTGCCCAAATCGGGCAATATACTCCTTCATTGAAGCAATCTGCTCCTGCTCCCACTTGTATTGTTTCATTTGGTTTTCTTCTAAATCACCACGAGTTTGAACATACTGGTCATAGTTACCAGTATATATCTTCAGTTTCTTGTTCTGCATGTGGATGATGTTCGTGCAAACACCATTCAAGAAGTCCTGGGAGTGTGAAACCACAACCAAAATGCTTTCAAAGTTCTTCAAAGTTTCCTCCAACCAGACACAAGCTTCCAAATCTGAAGTTGGAAAATGGTTGATCAACAACATCAAATTTATTATGATCAGATCATAACTATGGCACCAAAGAGAAAAAGTGGAAAAATAAATTAAAGTTGCATATCAACTACTAAAGCACAAAAGGAAAACTGATTCCCAGTTAACCAAATCTTTGACCTTACCATCTATCTAAAACTAAAACAGATCATTTATCATCATATCGTAATTAGTTAATTATTTAACTCTAATAATCAAATGATTTAACACTATATCGGCCCTGATTGGTGCAAATTATTGCAATCTAAATGCATAATCCAAGAGCATCCCTCTCCCAACTTCCCAATAATCAGCTTATTTAAGTCATTATTCCTTATCAATTGTTAACCAGCACAAACTCCAAAAATAACCTAAATTAACCCCCCATAAGCTGTGCACCAAACTGGCCCATTATATGGTAATGGCATAAAACTTTCCTTATAAGGTTTGAAAACAAGATATAGCATAAATTGACAACACTAAGGCCATTGACAGAGCTGCAAGCCTGCAATTGCTTTCGAAGTAGTGAAAATAAAATTCCACCATGAGAACAAATAATCGTGACAATCAGTAATTTTGTTATCAATGTTGTACAATATGAAGGATAAAAAAAATTCATCCACAAACTTCAACAACATCAAGAGCATCCAAACATAGAAAGCACAAAAGTACCTAACTCATTAGCAACATGTGCAAGTTTAGTGCCAATGGAACTTACCAAGATGATTGGTGGGTTCATCGAGCAATAGGATGGTTGGGTTCATAAACAGAGCCCTTGCTAAAGCAATCCTCATTCTCCAGCCACCAGAGAAGTCGCGTGTTTTCTTTCCTTGCATCTCCTTGTTAAAACCAAGACCATACAAGATCTCAGCAGCACGCTTCTCAGCAGTTGATGCATCCATGCCTTCCAAACGTTCATAAATGCGTTCAAGAGTTTCTCCACCACCATCATCCTAGTCAATACAAAATCTGTCATTAAGTTCCTGAGAATACCATGCTTAAAGACACAAGACAATTCAATCACTCAGACACACCTGTGCTGCCAAAGCTTCAGCTTCTTTCTCCAACTTCAACCTCTCCTCATCACAGTTTACAACAGCCTCAAGTGAGGACATGTCAGAAGCTTCAATCTCCCTGCTAAGGTGATAAATATCCATGTGTTCGGGAATGGGCAGCTCTCGGCACCCTATTGCAGTAAGAAGTGTAGATTTCCCACAGCCATTCAACCCAAGCAAACCATAACGTCTGTAAAGATAAGATGAGGTGAATAGATATACATGCATCATACAATGTCTATATACATGAGTAACATTGAATCAAGTACAAACCTGCCAAAATTGAGTTCCAGTTCAGAATCAACGATTAGATCATGTCCATGGAAAGTAAGCGATAGAGACTCTATCTGCAATGGCCACACAGTTTACTTATTTTTATCACTATTGAGAATTGTGCAGCCCAAATAAACAAAAGATAATTCATTACAGCAGTTCTGCAAAAATAAAAAGGATTCTTGATGCATGTTATTACCTCCTGCACAAGAGGGTCCAACAAGGTTGAACATATTGGACATATTCACAAAAGAGTGTGCATGAAATTAACCCTGGCAACATGGTTGGCAGATCAATCTGGTGACAGACCCATATGCTTGCCTAGGCGCTCGTCTAGGTGCACCAAGCTAGCAACAATAAGCTAAAAGTGAGACTCGCTAGATGAGAAAGTCTGCATTATCTACATAACCTTTTTCACATGTCCAGCAAACAGGAAATTATAATCTAGGACTCTACACAAATCCAGCTAAAAAGATCCAGAAGACACAACAGGAATAATTGGTTGTCACCAAACCATCACAAAGTTGCTTCATGTTCAAGTCCCCAAACACTCCAAATCGGATCATGTGATTGCCTGAGCATATTACACTCTCAAAAACAAATATAAGCCTTGCCGCTTTGCATTAATGGCCTGAATAACTTGAAATGTAGATTGCGATCTACGCATTCAACTATGATTTTTACACCAGTAAATTAAAACAAATTCCTAAATATCTGAAATTTAATCATAAGAAATTTGACACGATAAGGAAACAACATAATTTTGGTCAACCTTGCAACAAGCTGAACATAATACAGATCAAGATCAAAACAAATAGTACAACATTCCGCAATTTGATTATTTTCATAAATTCTTGAAAGAATCACTTGACCAGTAAATATCAATCCTCTATAAAGCACAGGTACGGGTACGAGTACTGGTACTGGTACGATACGGGAACGTCAATACGGTAAAATTCAAAAAAAATAAGGTACGGGTACGGCTTGGTACGCTTGTAAAAAAATATTTATTTTTAATTTAGAGTAATGCAAAAAATAATTAAATGATTTAATTTATTAAGGTCCAACCTATAATTAACATTTAATGCCAAAATAAAAAGTATAAATCAAAATTAAATGTCAATATATTAAACAACTTACAAACCATAATTTAATTTTAAAATCATGTTACGCATAAAACAAAAACTAAAAAAGAAAACTAATGAAATGAGTTTTATTTCTGTAGTAGAAGAAAATATTGTTTCAACGGAGGTACGGTACGGCTTGGATATATACTAGGTACGTCTGGGTACGTCAAAAATTAAAGAAAAAACTTGGATACGTGTTTCATGTACCCGGTACGTATGTAGAAGTACCATACGAGGTACGGTACGCCGATAAGTACCCGGTACGGGTACGGCATGTTTTTTAAAGTACCCATGCTTCATAGTCAATCCTCTACTTCTAAAAAACATGTAAACCATATGCATAAAAACCATTGTTCGTTAATCCGTACAAACAAAGTTCAGTTCTTGGTACAACCTCCCTCTCACTATCTAATTTGGTTCCCAGCTTGCATCTTTTAACCGTTGAAATATAACTACGCTTTGATTGTACATTGACATAATCACACACAAATTTCATGTTCTCGTGACCAGAGTAGAACATCTTTTGAGAGGGCAAGACACTGCAATTTATTTTTTTTCTTTCTTTGGATACTTTCCCTCATTACTCTAACACTATGTTTGGTTAGGCGATTTGAGAAGAGATTTGAAAAGGATAAAAGAAAATGTAGATAAAATGTAAATAAAATGTACTTACATTTCACCTACTTTCACATACATTTTCCCTTTCCCTTTCTCTTTGTCTTTCCAAATCCCTTCCAAAAAACACAGCATAAAAGATTGCATGACATATGCTTCTATACAACACTAATATGTTTCACAAACACACTTTAATGCGATCTGGAAGGAAAAAAAATGAAAAGTACCAAAAAGCACCCTGATTTGGTTAAAACAATATATATATATATATATCCCATAGCATGAACATTACAGTAACATTAAAGAAAGTGCCAGCACCACTAAACACGACACGGATTGCACAAATGGATATAAATTTATTAGAAAATGCATGTATTCACTACACATGTATTTCTAAGGATATCAAGATCTAAAGAAAGTGATAATTAAAACATGTAGATCTCCTTTTTATTCGTCAACCTAAAATTTCACGAAATTTCATCATCAGTGGCTCTACCTAAACACCCTAGATATGTAATTAAATCACAAAAATCAGAACTTTACAATTCCAACTCACATAAATATAAAAAATAAAAAAAAATAAAAAAAACTAAAAATTATCGACATAGATACACCATCCAGAGACCAAAACAAAGTCAAAACGAATCCGAAAACTCACCCTAATATCTCTGGACAGAGGATGTGAACAAAGAACACCAGTACAATTCCGATCCGATATCTGAAGCGCACCCACCCCATTCGCCACGTTATCGACCGCCGCTGCTGCAGCCTTCGACGACGTCGCAGCCGCCGCGGCCTTCCCTCCTCTTTTCGCGGCCGCTGCCGCCTTCTTCTGAGCCGCCTTCTTCTTGCTCGCGTCCGACACCATCTATTATCATCTCAACAAACACCAAAATCAATCAATCACCAACAAATAAAGAAAAAAAAAAGTGAGATTTAAATCGATATGAGACGTACCTTGAAGGAATGTGAGGTGAGATCTGAATAGAGAATAGATCGGATGAGAGAGAAGAGAGATTTTTATCTAGGGTTTGTGTTGAGGAACTTTCTGTGGTTTTCTCGGATTTTCCCTACTTTTCTTGGAAAACTGAGAAAAGAGAAGTAGGTAATGAGGGGGGCGGCCCGGGTATGCGAGGGTTTGAGGTTTAGATCCGTGATCGTTTTGATTTTTATTTTTATATGGAATGGAGGAGACAAGCGTGTCGACGCTGAAAACGGTAATGTTTTAACTACTAACGGAGGTTTGTATTTACACGACTCTTATTGGGACTGTTTGGAAGTTGGCTACGAGGTTTTTTTTTTTTTTTAAATAGTTAATAAATATAAAATAAATTAAAATAATATATCACATGTAAATTATAATTATTTTTTTTATAATTATCAAATCAATTATAAAAAAATTAATAAATTTTTAAATATAATTTTTTAAACAGACTAAAATAATTAAAAATAAAAAAATTAACTAAAATAATTAAATTTTCAAACCAACCCATTATTATCTCAGTTTTCACTATCACTCCCGTCTCATTTACATACACAATTTTTATTTTTATTTTTTTTCTTTCTATTTACACTACCTGATTTTTATAATATCTTTATCTTTAATTCTAACCCATCACCACTACTCATTATTATCACCTTACCGACTGATGCCCCTTCTCTTATTTTCATTGCCACCAACCTCCTTACCGTCGTACCCTTCCCAATCTTATAGGATTTTGAAGGTGATGAGAAACTACAACTGTGATGATGTCACTATATATAATAATTAGTATTTAATTAATTAAAAAGATTTGAATTTTAATTGTTATTATTATAGTTCAATTTGAGATTTATAAAAATTATTCAGCCTAAGACCATCTCCAACGCTTCATCAAACTTGACATCAAATTTAAATTTTGGTGAAAAAATGACTTTTTGGTGCTCCAACGGTTTCACCAAATCAATATCAAATCGAAAATTCACCAAAAGTTTCACCAAAATGAAAATAGACTTCAGCTTTTACCATTTCACTGTGCGTTACCGTTGGGGGAGACCAACCGGTCGACCAGCCGATTGACCGGCCAGTTGACCAACCGGTGGACCGGTTCCCTTCAAATATTTTGGTTCAAACAGGTCAAAAGGTTCGAAGAGGTAAAAAAAAAAAAAATACACTAACCGTTCGACCAACCGGTCAACCCACCAGCTGAAGAGAAATGTTGAACCAGGAAGCTCCATGATTGCATCATCACCTTCAGGGTCGTTGAAGAGAACAAGGGCTATTAATGGGACTCAAAATTTCAAAAATGGAGGAAAAAATTCCAGGTCAACCCACCGGACATTCCCAGCATTTTGATGCAAACTAAGTGCAACCGTTGGAGCGCCTCGTACCAGATTGAGAAAATCGTCCTTTTTTTCCTCAGATTTGATGAAAAAAGAAGTTCACCGTTGGAGATGCTCTAATTCATATACAATTTGAGTAAAGATTTATGTTGAAATTAGAAATTAAAAGCTTAAATGGTTTAACAATGTGAAATTGATAAGCTAAATCAGTTCAATTTCAAATATTAGACCATATGAAAGTTTAAATAAATATTTGATTTAGTTTAATAAAATTAAAATTTGATCGATTGGGTCTGAATTGGAGTTACGAAGTTATGAGGATTGAGAATTAAGACTATCATGAATTAAATCTATTTATGAGGTGTCCAATTTGACTATATAATTTATTGACAAAATTTTTGAGTCTAATCAGAAATTGAAGGCTTAAATAATTTGAGATCTCAAAATTAATGATGGAAATAAGTTTAATTTGATATTTATAACCTTTTGGGAGTCTAACTATATATCTGATTCAGATTGATAAAAATTAAATATAATTAATTGGGCCTTCATGGAAGTCAAATTAAACTAATTAAATTATGTAAAATTTGCGATTGGTTTAATTAATTTAATTATATGCTAATCAAAATTAAGTAAGATTAAATGATGTTTAATTAAATTTAAAATGTAATTAATATACTAAGTCATTCCTAATCAATTAACTCGATAGAGCAAAATTGGGAGAGTTCTAGAAGGATTGAGAAAGTGGTGTGTACCGGAAAGAAATAAACCTTCTCGTATAATCCTGTTGATCAAAGTTTGCGCTCCTCCGTACGACGTCGCTTTACTACCTGAAAACACAAACGTGAGTTAGCCGGCGGGTATGTGCCGGATACCTCTCCGATGCCTAAGTCAACAAAATAGACAAATAGACAAAAGCTCTGTGTGTTCGGGAATCAAAGTTGTCTTACCCCTCCATAGGTGATGTTGTGAGCTTTTATAGGTTCCGCGTGGCACAATCCTAGTAGGACTTTTACTCCTTCATGTAGAGTCCTCCTAGGAGTCATATTCCTGAAAAATAATGCTTATCCTACAACACCCCCCTCACTGCTTAAACTAAGTGAGATGGTTTTACCATGGTCGGATTCCAATATGACCAAGGTAAGCATGGCCATGCTAAGCCGCAGGGTAGACCAAACTATGCCTAGTTTGGTTATTCCTTTCACTGCTCTTACCTCGGTTTCCCCTGTACAAACCATGGTGTGCTTAGACTGAGCTAACTAATAGCAAGGTTCTAACCGAGCTAACAATAATACACCATGACCGGGCTAACTCTGAGCGTGGCGACCGAGCTAAGTGCAAAGCTCTCTTGGACCGGACTAACTTGAAGGCCATCTTGGACCGGGCTAACTCCAGGCTATCTTGGACCGGGCTAACTCCAAGGCCTTTATACTCAGCCCTTCTTACCGTGGCCCACAACGGCCCACTACTCAGCTCGGCCCAATTTAGATATAAATTTCCTCTCAATTGCCCCTTAATTCCATTTGCGCAGCATGATAGGGATTACATGTTTACTAGCCGAGCTAAAAATCTTTTAGCATTCCAACCGAGCTAAAAACTCTTATTATTCCAACCGGACTAAATTCTTTAGCATTCCAACCGTGCTAGGTTAACACCAGGATACTTAAATATGCCCGGTCAAAACGTCTCTTCAATCACAACAACTGAATCGCTTCTTATTTCAAGGACACGTGGCACACTCTGATTGGCCCAATACAGCTGTCATGCCGTCTTCGTATCTCGCAAAATTTGAACAGTCCCGCTCTTTTTGTCCTTCCTTCTACTCAAAACAAAACCCTTTTGTTTTTGGATCTTTCACTTCACTTACACTATTCACCCTCTCTCTCTCCCTTGCTTCTGATCTTCCATTACCTCCTCAGACTTGGAACTGCAAAGCTCGTGAATCCCTCAAGTGCCATTTCCAACTTCCAATTCCTTCATCTTCATCTGGTAAGCTACACAGATCTGTTCTATTTTTCTTGTTTTCGCACTTGTTTAATCCACAACATATTGTTTGTATTTTTGCAAAACACATGTTTCCCATTTTTTGTTCTGCCTCGTGTTTGCTAAGAAAGAACCTTGTAAAAACCATTTGTATTTACGAAATAATCTGCAGAACATTGTATTTGATCCAAAATCACCATCTAACCGAACTAGGAAGTTGTTTGTAGTTAATGTTAGTCTGGCCAGACTAACCAATCAAACTAATACTTCGCGCTATACTTAGTAGTTTCAATAAGTCGAACCATCGTTTGATTCATTTTCACCAAACTACCGAACCGTACTAAGTCTGCGCAATAGTGTGCTTAAATGCCTTAACCACAACCGAGCTACAGCTTGGGGCTAAACCAGCCCTCTTAGTTAAGACCGAACCAAGAACGCTGCCCCTAGAGGCTCAACCGGGCTAACAAACACCTTACTAAAACCGAGCTAAGACCCGCAGTATCTCACATAGCCGAGTTAGGACTTCATTTATCTTGCCTTTGTTTCTTTTAGCACGGTCCAATCGATTTGTGCTTAACACCTTTGTTTTTCACTTTGCAGACTTAGGCTGTCTAGGCATTCCTTTGAGCGCTCGACCGAGCTACTCAGCATCACTCTTCGACTGAGCTAACACTCCAGTTTAATTTATTCATAACTTAAACCATAAATGGGAAAGTATAGGTTCTTAGTTAACTCACCAAGGGCTATGGCCGAATTCCGAAAAGATTATAACATCCCTGATGATGTCCATCTCTCCCTAGCCGACCTGGATATCATACCATGAGGAAAACACGGCTTCATTCCCTTTACCCTGTTGTCCATAGTGGAGACCGGACTAAGATTCCCTGTATAGCCTCTCCTTTGTGAATTCCTTAGGCAGACCAACCTTTGCCCAATCCAACTTTCCACCAATTCTTACCGTATAATAAATGGTATTGCCGAGCTAAACCGCCGGGCTGGCCTTAATCTCAGTTTAGCGAGCTGTTCCATCAATATTCTATAAGCTCTGCCGAAGATGGATGGGTCTATTATTTAAGAATAAGACGCCGGCGTGAAAAAATAATAAAGGATACCCCGGATAAAGATATAAATGATGATGACTTCCTTTGGGTATCTAGAAATTTTGAGGACCAACAGGCCCAGATCCTTGATGACAGAATAAATTGGAACAAGGGCGTAGTCGGTAGAGTTACTTCGGCCTCATACTATGCCTTTCTTTACTTCGGTTTTCTCATCTTAAACCGTACTAACTGTTTGTCTTTTTTATACAGATTCGAACTTCCTCAAGTCCCAATACAGCTACCCCAACCTGAATTTACTTTGCGCCGCCCTGCGATATCCAAACCGAAGTTGGACCGAGCTACTGGACTTTCAACCGGCCTATCGATATAGTGGCAAATGGAAACCAAGGTAACTGATTTCCTATTGGAAGCCTCTCCTGAACCGGACCCAAACTTGCCCCAAATTAGATTGATTCCTCTAACCGCTGAGCAAGAGATGGCCAAGAAACGAGCTGTGAGGACC